ATTACTTCTCCCTGTCCAGATAAGGTATGGTGCTTTTAAATATGAGCATCCTGAGGCCTACCTAAGCACTTTATCAGAGCACATTCCTGTAGTCCTGTCTCTATAGAGGGTCTGAGGGTTTGGGGGTCTGGGTTGGGGCTGAGACTGTATTTCTAGTTATTTATCTTCTACATTTATAAAGAAACCAAGAAACACACCAGGTCCTTGCAGTGTACAACCATAGTTACTTCTCCAACATCTTTATCAAAGGGACACTAGAGGACAAGTATCTATCACTGACTGACAAGATGTGCTATTATGCTATTATGGTCTTTTTTTTTTTTTTTTTTTTTTTTTTTTGTCAATTTGACATAGCTAGAGTCATCTCAGAGGAGGGAATGGTCAAATGGGGGAACTGCCTCCATCAGAATAGTCTGTAGGGAAGCCTGTATGGCATTTTCTTAATTAGCAATTAATTAATAATTGATAAGTTTACTATGTGTGGTGCCTTTCCAGAGCAGGTGGCTCTGGGCTTTATAAAAAAGGTAGCTGAGCAAGCCAAGGGGAGAAAATGAGTAAAGAGTATTCATTTGTGGTCTATGATTCAGATTTTCCCCTTTCTTTAATGATGGAATGTGGTGAGGAAATATAAATTAAACAAAACTCCTTTCTCTCCCATTTGCTTTTGGTTATGGTGCTTATTATAGCAATAGAAAGCTCAATGCCATCTGTCATCCTATCCATTCAAATCTTCTGTCACAATTCCCAGAGGCACCAAAAGTTGCTGGTTCCTCTAATGGTGGCTGGTGACACATATTATGATTGTAATTCTGGTGGGAGAGTTAACAAGCCCATGGGTCAGTTCCTCCAATTAAGCATGCCATTCACATAGGACCTATATCTGACTCAGAGGTTTATAAGCACACTGAAGTATTTCTTAAATTAAAAATCATTCCAGTATGCTGTATTCTAACTGGATGTGTAGGTTGGGGTGGAAGTGGTTGGAATAATTCCTGCATTGGCTTTGCTGATTCACTATAATTTTTATTGCTTCCTGCTACATGGTTCTCTACATGGAATTTTACAATTTCTTATATTTTGTAGGAGGTGCAGGTGATAGTACTTTTCACCATGCACAATAAACAGTATCACTTAACCTTAATCCTGAAGTTTGAGGTCTGACACTAATGCAATGAATGCCTCTGTATGTCCTAGCAAATTTAATTTTAGAAGCCTGAAAAGCTTGTAACCAAAGAGAAATATTTTCAGTTTATGTTGGAGGCAGCCATTTTTATTCCTAAAATTTGAGATTTACAATAGTGTTCAACCTGAATGGTTCAGAATAACATCATGGGTTTTCTTTCTTTGAAACTTAGTTATTAAATAGTTTATTGTTAAATTTCTAATGAGGAAGAAGTTGGATACAATAAAGGACAGGGCAATAGAATCGTGTCTCCTAAGTGTCCTATGTGCTTTAGGGTCTCATATTGGTAAGTTGGTCACCCCTAGTCTAAAATGTTAAGTCTCTAGATAACTTGATATGATAGCAGTTTCATGACTGCTAAAGGTTGCACTTTAAAGGAAGCAGCAAGCAGGCCAAAAATATTACATGTGTTTAACCATCAGGAAAAAGTGTGACTCAGGTTCCAACCTACAAGTGCTTCATCTGTGTGTGTGTCTATGCATGCATATATTTGAAAATCTAAACTGAAATGAAAAACATGTCTTGTTCCAAGTATTGTGAATAAAGGATGTCCAGGCTGTAATATAAATATTTGCTCTTGTGACTGGTAGTCACAAGATACATGTTAAGCTTGGATGGGTGTAATTTGAAAGGAAGGGTTCTATGGTCAGTGTTGGGGCTAATACAACTAAAGCTGGGGCTTTCTGTAAGGGATTATAGGAAAATGAGCTGTCTGGTCACTGTGGCCCAGGTCAGTATGATTCTCCTGCTGGCAGTGGGTGCAGGAGATTAGCTTGGCCAATATGACTCTTGATAACAAGTGAGTAGAAAAGCATTAGCCTGCACTAAACCCAACAAATTCTGCTATCAGTTTGTAAATTCAAAGAAGCATGGAGATGAATACACACACACACACACACACACACACACACACACACACACACACACACACGAAAGGGCAACTACTAATTTCTTACTATTTTCTTATATCACTACCTTTTCAGCACTTTACATTACCTTATGCTGTAGGATCCAATAATAATCAATGAACATGACTTGAAAGTATCATCACACTTCATACAGTGAGGCTGAAAAGGGCCATGTGCCTAACTCTAATCCACATGTCTCAGAAATAGGACAGTTGGGCTGAATGCAGGTTTTTATTTGCCCTATTTATTATCTCTACCTAATGCCTACTATCATGTCTTAGTTAGCTTCAACCATCAACTAGATTTGGCATACAGTCATCTGAGGTACTCTCAATTGAGGAATTACACAGATCAGATTGGTCTATGGCAATGTCTATAAGGTATTATCTTGGTTAATGATTGATATGGGATGGCCTAGATGACCATGGGTAGCACCATCCCTAGATAGGTGATCCTAGGCTTGATAAGAAAGCTAGCTGAGTGAGAGCCTGTCGTTAAGACAGTGAGGAGCAAGCAGTATTTATCCATGGTTTCTGCTTTTAAGTTCCTGCCCCAATTTTCTCAATGATGAACTGTGTCTTGGAAACATCAGCCAATTGTATTTTACCTCCCCAAGTTGCTTTTTATCATACTGTTTTATCACAGCAAGAAAAAAAAAAAAAAAGACACACATAGAAGTTTCCAGAAAGGTATTCAAATCTTCCCAGTGGTTCTTGACTGACAAATATATGACAAGGGCTTCCACAGATTCTTTAATTCAACCTTAAACAGAACTCTATAAGAGAAAAATTTTAATCCTATTTCTTGGGAACAAACAGAAATCTAAGATATTGAGTGAAATGCCAGAATTATCAGAAGGGGATTAAGGAAGCACATGAGACTTAAGATAGAGTTGTTTGTTCTTAGGTTTAGTGCCTTCTACATAGAACACACATTAAAATTTTGATCACTCATGCTGCTATCAGTTCAGGAGCTTTTGAATGTACTTAAGTACAAAGAAATAGGCTGGTATACTTTCATGATGGTCATTATAACCTTATGGATAATTAAAGTAATAATATCATCATTCCCAGGTAACAGCATATAAGGAAACTGAGGCTTAGAAAAGCAAGATGATTTGTGCAGAAAGTTAAACTCAAGAATGTCAGAATCATTGAGAACACAGTGTCTGTCTCCTAAGACTAGGTGTATTGCATAGCTATACCAATGGTGAGTATGTAAGTCAGAGGTGAATTTTGAGTGTTTTCCTCCATATTTCTCTCACCTTATTTTTTGAGAAAGGCACCCATTTCCATTCCAACACAGCAATGACATGCAGCTCCCATTCAGTCCATGCTTTTGGATGGAGCTTTGTGAGCCTCTACATGTTTGGGTTCTTGTTCCTTCAGGGTTTGCACATTCTTCATCTACTCATGACTGATAAGGGTCCTTAAGGAACACTTGTTGTGTGCCTGGTACTACTCTTAGTATACTGACTGACATCATTCCTATATCGATCCCCACAGACAAAGTGCACAAGGAAAGGGTATCCAGTGAGGAGTAGGTATAACTTAAGAAGGAAGTTACTCAGCCAGTATGAGCTATGTAAAAGGTAGGTAGAGGAAAGCTGATTATCTCTGGGAAGTGAGCTTAAGACTTCAAATCCCTTCACCTCCTGTAGCCAGTGAGAATTAGAGAATTGTAAGTAACAGCTGGAGAGATGGATGGCTCAGCAATTAAGAGTACTTTTTGCAAGGACAAGAGTTTGCTTAACAGGGAATACATCAGGCAGCTCACTACCATCTGTAACTCAGCTACAGGTGATTCACCCTTCCCACCATAGGCCCTCTTGACTCACTAGTTCATCTATCCAGAAAACTTTTTTCTTAGAAACTGGAGTGTTTAGATTTCTTCCTTGCTTTCTATATCTCTACATCAACAGATGTGTCTTTCTCAGATATTTTCTTCAATGACATTATCTAAAGAGGATCTCCTACCTGACTGGAACCATCTATCCCAGTCCCTTCAAAGCCTGTATTGCAGCTATAATATTACTTAATTGTTTATGGATATCTACATTCCTGATACTGGATCAAACACCCAAACTTTAAACAATGCGGAGACAAAGACTCGATCTTAATTGGTTTGCTATGGAGCCTGGGTATGAAGCTGTTTCAAAAGCTCCCATTGTGATTCAATTTGTTCCTTATCATATAGTTGATAACCACTCTATAAGACTGTCATTGAGAGGACCATCATAATAGCAGTGCCACTGGGAAAAGCCCAGTGAAGGACATACATGAGGACAGGAAATGGCCTTGTTTTTCTGGGGTTACAGTGGTGGATTAAATAAGGATGTCACCCATAGGCTCATATATTTGAAAGATTAGTTACCAGCGAGTGACACTTATTTGAGAAGGATTAGGAGATGTGGCCTTGTTGAAGAAAGTGTGCTACTGGGGTGGGCTTTGAGGTTTCAAAAGCCCACTCCAAGTCCAGTGCCTCTATTGCTCTACTTTCTTGCCTGCATATCAGGATGCAAGTTCTCAGTCCTGTGCCTACATTCCTGCCAGCATGATGATCATAGATTAATCCTCTGAAACTGTAAGCAAGCCCCCAATAAAATGCTTTCTTTTGAAAGAGTTGCCTTGATTATAGTGTCTCTTCACAGCAGCAATATAGCAGTAACTAAGCTACAGAGGCTGCAGTGTATAGACTCTTCAGTAGGACCTACTCTTGCTATCCTCAAGTAACAACAGCAAAATGAGGAAACACCTGCTGTGCAGCATTAGGGAGGGCACTAAGATTAACTTTAATGGAACTTCATATCCATTCCAAGTCTAGGAGACCATCTCTCATTATCTGTTGTTTCTGGGGGTAAAGAGTATCAGCTTTGGGGATGGTGTAGAGGGTAAGGTCATTGATCATACCTGTCCATGGAAAGCTGAGCGACCAAAGTAACGTCCGTGTTGTCAGTAGCAGGCTCAAACTCATAGTGCAGGAAGTACAGGTGGGTTCGGTGGACAGTGAAGCGCTCTCGTCGGAACTCATAACACAAGTCATCCTCATCCAGCTCTGACAGCTGCTTCTGAAGCTTCAAAGGAAGAAAAAGACTTGGGAACAGGAGGAAAGGCACCACAGGGCTCAGAAGTCTACCTGTGGTTGACTGTCCTTCCTGTGTTGGTAGTTTAACAGAAAGAATTCCCATTTTATTTCTTGAGCCATCACTCTAACTTCAAAAGATGACCAAAAAAGCAGGTACCTTCTCCATAAGAAAGCTGAGCCCTCTTGTGGTCAAGAGAGATAGTGATGCTTACTGACAAACAGCCCAGACAAATCCTCACAAACAAAACAGAGGGTTTTCCTAGCAAGTCAGTCAAATGATAGTTTGGTTTTCATTAACTCAAAGAAGATACTTGTAGATGAGGAAATCTCAAATGGGAAGGGTTTCTGAGTGACCTGATGCTTTTGTCTTTTGGAGCTACACAAGTCAGTCTTTGGGACATATAAAAAAGAGAAGAACCAAGCAAATGCATTGATGACACAAAACTTTTACGTTTATTTTTTTAAACCTAAATTTAGTCAGGCAACCCTCTTTCTCTTTTACCTTTCCTAACTTTCTATGAAAGTCTGTCTTCATTATTAGAGAAGTATCTGTTGTTCTATTCTTTCCTAGCTCACCTACTGAAAGCGTAGTCTAACTTGCTAACAAGAAATTTGGATGGCTACAGGTTCCCCTTGCTGGTAAACCCCATAGTACCACAACCATGTGAATGATGTCTGCTTAACAGACCTAAGAGCTGAAATCTCAATGACCTGGCAAAACACTATCTACAGCAATGGAAAGGGTGGGGGAAGTAGCTTGAATAAAGACAAAAGTGTTTTGGGGGTATGGCTTACATCATCACTGTGATGTGTGACTTTTTTTAAACTTGAGTGCACACATTTGTGAATGTTCTTCATGCTACAGCAGAAGACTTGGGCAGAGAAGACTTAGTATAAGCAGTTTGGATTCCAATAAAATTAAACTTAAAAAATAATATTATCCCAAGGGTCACACAACTGGTTCTGATGTTTGTCTGGTTACCTCAGCTTTCTCTATCACATAGCATCATACAATTTTCATGTCTGGACTTATTAGCCTGTCTGAAAGTAATAGACTGGTTTTCAAACAATGTGTCTTTTTAAAATCTCAAAACTGAGAGCATAATTCACAAGAAAACACATTAACCTGCTTCTCTCAATACAGCCTTCCATCACTGTAGAGCATTGTCTTCACACATTATGTCACTGTCATGTTTCTCAAGAGAATGGCAGTCACACATGTCACAGTGAAGTAAAGGGTGCTTTAGTCCTTTCCTCCTTCCCCTCTGTGGCATGGCCACATCTGTACAGTGGTGCTTAAAAAAGACATGAGTCTGTTTCTTTGTCCTTGAAATCTAGGCTGAACTTGGAAAAAGCTTTTATTACTAGAGTTCAGGGGAAGTAATATCCTCCTATTTTTAGGCTAGACTCCAAGAGAAAAAGTGTGGCTCTGTAACATAGCCAGGAGGCAATTCTCACACTAGCCTGATAGGAGAGGACAGGAACCTGTGGCTGGTACTTTCCTCGGTTGCTTACATGTGAGCAAACCCAGCTCTCAGCAGAGTTGTACTAATAAATACTTCCTGTAGACTACTGAGGTACAGGCTGTGAACAATAGGTAACAGATGATGTGGTATTAGCACTTAATGGGGGGCATCATAGGACCCAACAAATCTAGGTACAGTTCAGTTTCTGAGCCCTGTTTGGCAAATGCTCAAAGATTCACCAGATGTCCTTGTACAACTCAGATGCAGCCACACATTTCCAAATGCTCACTGGGGAGTCAGCAGAGATTTCAAGATCTGAGACACTTCTGGCCACCTAAGTTATATAATACGAAGAAGTTGAATAGAACTCTCCCTCTGTCAAAGAGTCTATGTACAACATGCCCCCCTTTAATATGCAAAGTTATGCCTGGAGGTCTCTGGGGATGAGTACAGATAGCAGTTCTACCCATCACCTCTATCCTCTGCAGGCTCTCCATTAATGCTTCCCAGACTTGATTTTTCTCCTGCCTTTCTGTGATTTCCTTGAGCATCACATTTTTCCTCTTGGCAAAGTGTTCCCTCACTGGATTCTTTTCTACCCTCTATTTAACTTTCAAAACAGCATAGATGTTCATTTTCTGGAAGACCACTGCAGTTCCATTCAGGACAGCTGTTCCATTTCTTCTCTAGACTTGAAGAGTTGCTCCCAAACGTTGTGAAGCACTTGTCAATTTTAACTGCAATTATTTAAAGGCATCTATTACAAGATGGCCCCCCATTCTATGTCCAGTGCATAACAAACTGCAAACAGCTACAGGTTACATGAACAAAAATGTTTTGCTGAGCACAAGATGAAAACTATCACTGTGATGGCTGCCCTCCAATTTTCCTTTATTTCGTCTCATTTTATTCACAGAAAGTAATCAATTAGTTTACTGTTAAGACTATTATTTTTCACTATTTGCATCCAAGGGTATTTGATGGCAGAACTGGTTTTAGAAAGCAAGCAGATGCACAGAAGGAGCTCATCTGTACAGGTGCTTATCCTCTTCCAGATACTCTGGGGGAGAGCCTTGTAAACCTCACTTAACAGCTTCAGCTTCAGATTCCTGAAGTCCCTTAGGCTGGTTACATCTGGGTCCATGTGTCCCCATCCCTCTCTAAGAAAGATGCTAATTTGGTCTCAGGTGAAGTTTCTGATACAGTGCAGAGACTAAGGTTACAGGCTGGATCCCCCTACCACATGTATGTGGCTTCTTAACTTTTCTGAACTCTGATTCCCTCAAGTATGAGGTGGGGCAGCAAAGGTAACTATAGGGGATGGTAAGAGAATACAAATATCCTACAACAACCACAGCAGGGGCATCTCCCCAGTCTGGTCCTTTCGGTTTTTTATGTGTATAATCATTTTACAAAATGTATGTCTTTGCATCACATGCGTGCTTGGTGCAATTCCAATTCCAAGAGAGGGCATTGGATGCCCCTGGAATTGGAATTGCAGAAGTCTGTAAACTACCATGTGGGAAGTGGTAATTGAACTCAGGTCCTCAGGAATAAACTGCTGGTTATTCAGCGTCTTAATCACTGAAGCCATCTCTCCAGCCCCTCTTCCTGATTTTTGAATGGCAAAAATATTAAAAAAAAAAATTAAACTAATCTAAACTAAACTATGCCTAGAAACCATTATTACCTCCTAGGAGGAATTTTTATCAACCAATGCCTTCCTTCCTTCTCTCTTCCACACTGTAGTTGAACGGATTCCCATTCAGAAAGAAAAAAATTGCAAACTCCTTAAAGGAGCAGGGTTGACTTTTTCTCCCCTTCATTTTGCTTTGTGGCCTTAATGTATTGACAAAGTCACATGACTTCTGCTTTTGTGGAAAGAAGAGAGCATTATGCAAGGAGGTTTCCATGTGAACTTGTGGAAACAAACATCTTCCTTTGATGAGTTTTTCAAATAAGTAATATGTGATAATGATATTAGTGATGAGGTAGTGGTATGTATGAGGTTTACATTTCTCTTTACATGGACCAAGGATAAAGATTTATCAAATTAATGCCTCTAGGAGATACTTGCTAAAGCACCCATAGAATGGTTTCTAAAGGTAAGAGCTGTACCCCATTCAAATTAGAACCCCTAAAACCAAGCACCTTGTAAGATATACAAGCCTATGTTGGTATCAAGAAGAGTGCACTCAGAACTATCAAGGTGTAGATTGCTCTGGCAGGGAGGGTTGGCTTGCATTTCTGGACCATGTCTCCTCTTTTATAAAATTCACAGTATAAGTGGTATGTGATTCATCTGAATCCCAAGTGATGTCCTTCATTGTGCTTATGGAAGAGAGCCTAGAAGGTGTTATTGTCTGGCTGCCACACATGTATACTAAGACACATCTGCCTGTGAGACTCCAAGGCACCCAGGTGCCAACTAAGTATTAGTATTACCTTTAACATCATCAAATACACTTATACTGATATGGATAGAGCATCAGCTCAGAGCTAGGTGTTGTGTTAAGCTAATGTTTCTGGGTGCACTGACTTACATTCTAGATCCCTTAAGACACATCTCCTATTCAAAGGTGAAAACCAAGGCTGCCATTCAGACCTCCAGCCAGGAAGACTTCGCACTAGACAATTACTTATTTCCCAGAATGGATATGAGCTTCAAATGGGATGCTAGAAAACATAATATGCCTTGATCAAAGTAGGCAATTAAAAAAAAAGAAAGGTATATATAATAAGATCTCAGCAAAAGCGAACAAATGAAATCCACTAGAAAATCAGTAGAGGGAAACATTACAAAGTTAACCAAGATTTTTCTGTGAGTGATAGATTGAAAGATAGATTTTATTGCTTCCTGTAGTTAATCAATTCTCTGCAATTTTCCCAAATGAGCTAATGCATGTAGGTGTGCTTTGTAAACTGTAGAGTGTTCCATAAAGTTAAACAATGATATTATGATTGCATTACTTATCTTTTCTAATTCTAGTGTTGGCTGGTTTATTGCTGACCATATGGCTGATGTCTCAAGAGGAACATACCAGGTACATAAATACAGTGTCTCCTTCACCCAGGGACTCTACAATGTTCCCAGGGAGACACTGGGCTGGAGGTTACTTGTACCCTGTTGTCTAGCCACAGAAGAAAACAGGGCTCCAACCAAGTGAGTAATAGAAACAAAAGATGTATTTTTCCAGAGGAAAAAAAAATGCATTTGCTAAATTGTTTCTTTGGGAAGCCAGCTGAGGCACAGGTAGAATTTAACTTGAGGGAAAATGGCCCTTTAAGCACTTCGCACTTCTGTTCTGCCTTCCCATTCCTAGGACAATGGTCTAGATTTACCTTTGAGCTCCTGAAAAGATGGCTGGACATGCCTGAGGGTTCAGTGGAAGTGTGTTGCCAGCTATGGCTAAAGGTGCCTTCAGCTAAGACCAGAATGTCCTTGTTTTTTTTTTTTTTTTTTTTTTTTTTTAAAATCTGTACATCAACTTATACAAGAGTGTGAATTGTTATGGTGTTTAAATTGCAGCAAGTATGTAATCATGAAATCTCAACAACATGGTTGAATTAACAAGATCTGTATAATGACAACATATATAAGTGCTCATCTCTCAACACATGTACACTGGAGCGATACAGAAGGTTGTGTATGCAACACTCTTACGAGCACACACACACACACACACACACACAGTTATAATTACAGAAGAGGTGATGAATCTGAGAGAGTGTAGGACAGAGGAAAGGGAGGAATTGGAGAGGAAGAAAAAAAGAGTAGAAATGGTATGTTTATTGTGTAGGGTTAAATGGCCAAGAAAGAACAGCAGGGCCAATGAAAAGGACACCCTGACCCTGACTTTACCATAAGAATAGGGCAAAGGAAAGAATACACTGCCCCTGATTTGACCCCAAACAAGAGATCAGGGCCAAGAAAACAAAAACAAAAACCAACCAACCAACCAACCAAACAAACAAAACAAAAGCAAAACCACCAATACATGAGTTTTGAGTTCAGGCCACAGAATCCCACCAATCCCTGAGCTTGCCCCCAAGATCGGGTCATATACTCCCTACAATCCCAGGACACCTGGGAAAGCCACCACCACCATACATTCCAAGAAAGTCTATATAACCCATGTTTTCGGCTCAATTATCTACTATTTCATACCTGAGCAGAAGCAGCCACCCTCCCAATAAATCTCTTATGTGAAGTTTGTTATGTGGTGTGACTTTGTGGTATTCAGCTTCTGATACATGTCCTTCAGAGCTGTAACACTTGCACCAGGGAACACCTCCACTCTGTCACCAGAGCAGAGCTGTAACACTTGCAAGTTATTTTTTCTTATTTTACATATCATCCGAGTTCCCTCTCCCACCTTCTCTCCCATACGCCCCATCATTCCCTTCCACCCCCCCACACTCCCCAGGGACGGTGAGGCCTTCCAGGAGGGATCATCAAAATCTGTCAAGTCATTTGGAGTAGGGTCTAGGCCCTATGGGCAGGAAGAATTTCTTTCTTTCTTTCTCATGACTTGGAGCAACAGAAAAAAAAAAATACTGGCGGGTAAGTAGTAAGACTATTGCTCATGCTTTCAAATTACTTTCTCTTTAAAGGGAATTCATACACATTACTTGTGTGTATGAGATAGTAAGGATGGGTCCTGCTGCCCTCAGATTAAAATATGAGAAAATGTGACTAAAGTGTTTATCACACAAGTACACAGACCTTAGTTTGTATACATAGCACCTAAATAAAATACAGAAATGAAGGTGCCCATCTGTAACCACACTGCTGAGGGACAAGACAGGTGGATCCCTGAAACTCCAGGTCTAGTGAGAGATTCTGCTCCAAAAATGAAGTTGGAGAGAAACAGAGAAGGATATACAGAGTATAACACTACCCTACACAAGAAAACACACACACACACACACACACACACACACACACACACACACACACACGTTGCCCCATAGATTTGCTTAGAGAGCCTGAGGTACAACATTTATCTCCTGAAATCTCATTTAATGCTCCCCTTCCTTGTAGTTACCATGAAGTATTTAAGTTTTATTGAAGCACACAGACAGGGAGAGAAACTCACTAGCTCACAACAAATCAATATGATTTGTTGTGTACATTAGTCAATAAGTTTCAGGTACCCTGGGCTTTTTTTTTTTTTTTACTCAGGAGACCAACCTAGAAACCACTTTCAGTCTTTCATGGCCACATTCGAGTATGTTGAGTGATTGTTCAGGAGGGCTGTCTCTGCAGTCCCTGGCTACATTTGGAGGAGACAGAAAAGGAAAAGACATGGCCTCCTCATCTTTCCCAGGTACCAGCATGACACACACAATTAGCAAAAAGCCTGAGGCTTTTGTTTGTAGAAGAAAAGGCAAAGAATCAAGTCAGCTATTTCCATTTTTGTCGTGATGCTGGGATTGGAACCCAGGATCTCCTAGATGCTAGGCAAGCATTCTGCCACTCTACCTCCCAATTTTAAAGACATTGTGACCATGAGTGCAATTTGCTTTTGGGAAAAGGTGCTCATGTAACATTGTTATAAGCTACCTATTTGCCTTCAAGCAGTCAAAAGAGAGCAATGAACTCATGGGAGTGCTCAGATTTATTTCCTCACTCTTATAGAGTTCAGGATCCCTTACCTTGGGAATGGCACCCCACATAGAGGGTGAGTCTTCTTATCTCAGAGCAAGATAATTCCCCACAGGCATGTTGCAAGGCCCATCTCCCAAGTGACTCTTGATTTTGTCAAGTTGATAGTACTAGCTATTACATTGCCTGAACCTATTTTATCCTTGAAGTCTCCTTCTATGACAGCCTAGGTTCCACCCAATGAATCCTGCAACACAAGCTTGGTAATTTCCTGGCCATGAGGCAAACAATGCAAATCTGATGGTTGCTTCTCCCTGGAAATTCACTCTGACCCATTCAGGTGAGCTAATGTCTCCTTTCAAGTCCATATTGATACACAGGAAGTGACCAGATATCTGATCACTGCCCCAATGGGCCATGGATTCCATTGCAGGTAAGGTGGCTTATTCCTCAGGGTCCAGCCCTAAGCTGACTGTAGAACTCAAAAAGGACCAAAAACAGACAATTGAGAATGTGGCCAATCTCTCCTACTAGCTATGGAACACTCACATTTTCACTGTTGACATCTGCCTCACTGGGGCAGCCAAACAGCTCCCGCCGTAGGAGGTTGCCATCATACTCTAAGAAAGTAAGGTAGAGGTTGCGGAAGAATTCCACATGTTTGTTCTTCACATGTAGCTTCTTGGGGGAGTTCCAGTGGATGACCTGAAGGGCAACAAAGAGACTGGCAGATTACAAAAGCCACATAACATGGAACTTCATGGCTTGGGACAAGGTGAGATATGATCATGGGTCTGCAGTTCATTCATCCACTCATTCATTCCACATTTTGGCAGAGTGGTAGGGAACCAGTGCTGGTGATGGATCAAATCTTGCCTCTTTCATAAGCTGTCATTAAATTATGGAGAAGTTCCATTATTCTCTGTGTCACAGGAACATTCACAGTTCTTGTGCACTGTTATTAGGCTTTCATCTCCGGAATCCTCCAGCTCTGCAATGCAGAGGCTGGGACTCTGACCAGAACCTACTTGGGGATGTAGTCAGTCCAGGAGAAGGACACTTGGGGCATGAGCAGGGGAGACATGGCTTCTCTCTGGGGGTTCCTGGTACTGAGAACATCACTTGGCCTCCTCCCACCACCATTGGTACTTTCCTCCCTTCAAAAATCCATGTCATAGATTTCCCAACACTCATAATAAGCTTCACAGTGCCTGATTCTCTGTCTAGAGCAGCTGCCTCTGACATTGGTGACCTCAAAGGTATGAGTTTGAATTCTCTCAACCTCTCCTTTCTGCTCTTCAAACACTGCACTGTTAGTCATCCCTTGTAATTTCTGACTTAAGTTTTATCTCAGGGCCAAGTCTATACATTATGCCTGGTTACCACTTCTAAATGTCACATTTCCTGTTTAAATAATTAGTATGGTCTCTGACTTCAGCCAAGACTGAGTGACAGACTCATAGAACTGCTATGAAAAGTAAACATATTAAATCTGGCCTTGGGTAAACACTCACAAAAATGTTGGCTCCTTTAGCAATCTGCCAGATTGAGAGATGTCCTAAGGCACATGACCCTGGCAGTTGCCAACAGAATATTGTCATGTCCCACCAATAGGTGGGAAGGCATAGTGGAGGGAAAAGCATAGAAAAGACATAGCTCTGAAATATTCAATAGAACCATGATGGAAGATGCCTAATTTGGGGCTCAGAGGAGAGGAATATGGTTCCTGGGAGAGATGGGCTCAAGGAAGCCATATGGAGAAGGTCATGCTCAATGGAAGAAACACAGCTTCTATACCTGAGAAGCCAACATTTGAAACTCAGACCTGGCCACTACAGATTCTGAAGAGACAGCAAAATGACTGCCATCACTGTGTGTAAAGATGTGCCTGGTAAGATGAGCAGACAAAATCAAACCTGGGGTCACTGTTGTAATTTCCCAATGAGAAATTAGATATTGGGCACACATTTTTCTGATTTGCTTGAGAAGACAAAAAGGGGTGGACCGAGAAAATTAAGTGAATATTTAGAGTATAATATGAACTAAATTATTCTAAGTACTTGATTATTAATATTTATTGGTACTTATTCTTACAAATAGTTCAAACTATTATGTCATGACTACTATAAGTGAATAATTTGAATCAATTTTTAATAACAAAAGTCCAATATGGCATCACTATGCATAGTACCCCTGTTTATGAAGGGAAGGGAGGCTCCAGAAAATTTTGTTTTTCCATGGTCTCACACCTGGCACCTTGCATTCCATATCAGAGGATACTTACTTGACTAACCACAGCACTTTGCTGTCTTTGAGCTGGATATGGGGCCCAGAAAAGGCAGAGGTCCTATAAGGGTAGAGTTATTGATGGGTAAAGGTGTCAGCAGATGTCAACAGTGGGGCTGAAGGAGATATGGAGGATGGGCTCTGGAGAAGTTAACATGATGAAGGACAGCAGAACCAGAGAAGGGCTGGCTCCATGATGGCTGTCCCCATTACTGGTCGCATGCCCAGTGTCTATAGAAGATACCAAGCAAGACCAAGCCTCAGCATGGAATAAGATGGAAGAAGTATCAGCCTTTCACTCTTCCTCTCCCCCCTCCCCCAATAAACCTCTTACATTAACTCTGTTGCATGCAGCATATTTGCTTAGTGGCAGGGCCAACCAAAAGTTAAATCAGTTCACACAGGGACCCTGCCCACCTGCTTGACCCTCAACAGATCTTCTCTCCCACCTGAAACAAATCTGCTTTCTTGTTGACTGGCAGCCTCACTACGTGCCTCTGACCAATCCAGATTACTGGGGAGCAGTATTCTACTTACTTTCTGTGTCTTTCTCATGCCCAAGGCCCTTGGCTCCGACCCTTTTCAAGATGGTAGCTTGCCCTTTTCTGAAATTTGAACCTCTCTGAATTCCTGGGATTCTAGGAATTGACTTGGGTCTTACTTCTCTGTCTCACTCATGGAAACTATGTCATCATCTATACCTCCTTGCTTCCATTGGGATGTTTGTTTGTTTGATTTTTTTTTTCTTTTTGAGACCCACTGAACATTCCTAATCAGCTATTGTTGCAAGACTACCAGCTAATGGTCATGGAGCTGGAGGTGTAAGACTATGAAACATGTCCAGATGGTTGCTTCAAGCCCTCAGGAGTCCACTTGGATCCACCTCGACTAGCATTTTGCCAGGTCCAGGAGTCACCTGGCAGTTCCACAGAGCCTGCACAGTGGAGTGAAACAGCCAGCTACTCCAGGACATGGTCAGATCCCAGCTTTCCCAGGTCCCCCAAAGATGAATGATGTTCCCCAGGTCCATATAAAGTAGTCTTGAGAACACGGAGTCCTCATCCCTGCCTAACCTGCTACCCCATTCTAACTCCTCACCTTTTTACAATACATAAAAAGGGAATAATGTTAGCATTCAGGCATTTATAAATATACAAGCTTGCTGTTGTGGTTGACAGGATATGTCCTCAGCTGCAGCCACATCTCCTATGCATATTAAATATATTCCCTCTCTGTTTGCACCCCTCTCTCTTCCTCTGCTTTCTCTCCTGTTGCTCCTGTCCCTAGAGGACAGTCTCCCTTCTCCCCTTCCCCCTTTTTTCATTCCTTTTCCTTTAATAAAAACCCCTCCAGGTGAATTCTGTCACATGGCAGTATTATACTGCTTTTTAAAAGAAAAGGATCCAAACCAAAAAACAGCACAATCTTTTATATACACTTCCTAGCATGCAATGTACACATATGCATGCATGCATGCGTGTGTGTGTGTGTGTGTGTGTGTGTGTGTGTGTGTGTGTGTATAAATGTTGGTAAAACCTAAAATGTAGGGAGATGAAGAAATGGTAAAAATAGGTGATGGGGTGGGCAAAAGTACAGATGGGCCATGAAAAAGAGACCAGGGGAGGAGGTTATAAAAGGAAAGAATGGATTGGGAGAAGTAGGGGCTGGATGAGATTGGGGAGGGGAAGCTAATAACACATAGGTTGATTTGAAAATACCATAATGACTTATAATACTTAGTATGATAATTTAAAGAATTTTTGAAAAACAAAAAACAAAAATAAAGGTGGCATTGGTTAAAATAAAGGGGTCAGAACATAATAACAAAAAGACATGATAGTGGAAAGGAATGCTGTTGGTGTCTGTGGAAGATGATGGGGACATTGAGCATGACCAGATTATCTTCTACCCACATATGAAACTACTGAACAAATTAAAAGAAAATAAAATATGGGGCTTCTGATATGGCTCAGTGGTTAAGAACAATGGTTGCTAGTGCACAGAATCTGAGTGGCTCAGAACTGTCTGTAACACCAGTCACAGACAATCTGATGCCCTTTTCTGGGAGGGAGGGAGAGAGGGAGGGAGGGAGGAAGGGAGGGAGGGAGGGAGTGAGAGAGAGAGACAGATGCAGTGAGACAGAGAGACAGGATAGAACACAGCAACAATCCAGGGTATACCAACTCTAAGTAGACTGGGCATGGGTTGGTAAACACACACACACACACACACACACACACACACACACACTTTCTCTTCCACTCTTTCATCACAGACAGGCAAGTATGCTGCAAGGTAGCTGAAGGCAATGGGCACAATCACTATGTAGTGACAGTGATTTTAAAGTTTATAAAAGATTCAATATTACTATATGCCATTATCCCCTTGTGGTACGTTTTATTTATTTATTTATTTTTATTTAATTTATTATTTTACATGCCGATCCCAATTCCCTCTCCCTCCCTTTTATTCTCTCTGCCCCCTCACATGCACCCTGACCACCCTCCCCTCCCATTCCCCCACCCCAATTCCACATGTAGGGCAATGCCATCCAGGTGGGGTCATGTAGATCTGACAGGTCATTTGAAGTAGGGACTAGGACTTCTCTCCTGTCTCTAGGCAGTTATCCCTTAATGCAGTTATCCCTCCATGGGGGATGTGTCTGCAAGGTCCTTTTGTGCACCAGGAATACATCTGTCTGAGGTCCCTTAGACTGCTCAGTCCTTCTGGCTCAGACCTATATTCAGGGTGGCCTGAGTCAGTCCCATGCTGGATGGATTCCCAGCTATCAGTCTGAGGGCCCATTAGCTCCCCCTTGTTCAGGTCAGCTGTTTCTATGTGTTTCTGCAACCTGTTCTTGTCCTCTCTGTCTGCATCTGGATTCTAGTTCGACTCAGTGTTTAGGTATGGGTGTTTGCTTCTGTTCCCAACAGGTATTAGATGAGGGCTCCATGGATAAGTTAGTTGTTGATCTCACTATCCGGGAAGGGCATTTAAACACACAAAGATTTCTGTTGTCATAGAAACAGTGACTTAATAACTGCAGACAAAGATTAAAAAATATTTTCCTATTGCATTCTTCAGCATGTAAATATCAAGTTAATATACATGTATATTATAAAATGCTACATACACACACAAACACACACACATACACACGCACAAATTTGAGAGGGAGTGGAGTGGACATGAGAAAAGTTGAATGGGGGAAGGAGAGGGTAAATGATATAAATACAGTGTGCATATATAAGATTCTTAAAAATTTTAAGATACATAAAAAATTGGTGTTTGAGTTCCTGACTGAAGCATCATAAACAAGTTTGAACTTTGTCTTGGGATTAGAATAAAATTTCCACTAGTGACTGGAATGGATTTACATATATTTCTTCCTTTGGATACTGAACATTTATGTGCAATAG